AATGTCATATTTTGAGTAGCAGGAGGTTGGGTGGCCAGATTGAGTAGCAGTAATATAGAAAACCTGGCTGGTGATGGGTATCAGGCAGAACATGCTACCACTCATGGTGACCAGATCAAAAGATGATGGCCACTCTGTACCCTGCACTATGTCAGGCGCTGGGGTTACAGACAACTAGAGTTTATCCAGAGGAAGACCCCAGGATCCCCAGGGACCCTTATTCTAACAGCCCATGAGAAACAGAGACACTGGGGAGAGAGCGGAGGAGGGAAGAGCAGGGCTGTCATTCACTGGAAGAGAAGGAACCTGGTTCTTGGAAACCCCCTGGAGCACTGGCACCATGGAACACTGGGGCCCCTAGAGAATTGGCACCAGGATTATAAGGAAACAATGCTCTACATGAGCTCTTTCTAACACTCAAGAGCCCTCAAATAATACAAAAGTGCCTTACAAAGTTAAGCTCCCTGCCTCTGGAAGTAGTCACGTGGAAGCTGTTCTAGCAATGACACCTGTTTCTGGTAGAAAAAAAGTGGGTTTCTATTTTATTTATTTGAAAAGAATAGGTTTATTAGGAAAAGAAGAAAGAAAAAGAGATGCACCTGCAGAGTCCCAGGCAAGCAGGAAGCTGCTTTTTGCCAGTAAGCACAGTGCTCTTGAGTGGGTTTGTAACTTAGATTGGTGCTTGAAATCGATGGTCCCAGGATCTCTTTTTACTTTGATGTTCTAGGATTCTGATTAGGACTCCTATCTTGATTTTAAAGAGAGCATGGCCTAGACTGAAACTTCCGTTATGTGTCCCTACACACCACACCACTTCTGGATGACTACTGGCTTTCTTGGTGCCTTTTCATCCCCACTCCTCTAAGCCTCCTGTTAAGTTTGCTAAAGAAGTTACCTGGTCCAGCCATCCTTCAGTGCCTCGGTGCAGAGCTGAAGGGAAGGAAACACAGCATCACCATGTGCCAGAAAGCTGTGCTTGTTCTACACAGCATCTCAGTGGAATCTGATCTGGTTTCATAAACACTAAGGTTGCATACACCAGAAGAACAACCATGTGTTGTTGAAATTAAGAGCAGAAACTGCTTAGCCAACAGAGTATAGCTCTGTACTCTGAGAGTGACTTCCTTTCCTCATCTCTATGGGAACCATTTCTTTAACTGTCACAACATTCTGAGAAGGGGAACAGGCATTCATATTCCTCTTTGTAAATCTACGGCAGTCTGCGGCATCCACAGACCTAATGGATGTAAGAGCAACAGCTAGTCTCTGTCTCTTTCTCACAACTATGAGTATGGTATAATGAGAAGGAGTAATAATTCAACTACATACAGGCAATATGGCATGTGCTAACCATGGGGTCTCGAGCATTCCACAAATTATGCATTTATTTGAATCCCAAAACCACCAACAAGGTAGAGGTCATGTGTCTACTTCACAGTGAGGAAACTAAGACTCAGCATGGTCAGGTGCCTGGGAACCAAATCCCAAGCTGTTGCCTCCCAGCATCCAAGGTGGGACTGGATCAGAGTCCCCCTGCTGCTTGTGTATCAATGCTTTCGGTGGGGCCTTGGACCCACAATGACTTAGAAAGGCTGTCAGAAACGATTTAATCCCTTCCAGAAATGCAGGACTAGACAGCCAGTTTACGAAGTCAGGTTAAATGCCCACCTGCTTCAGCATGTCATCCGAGTACCCCAGCCAGGCGCAGGATGTGGTGTAGGCAGGGTAGCCATGTGCCAGCATGTGTTCCTCTGCAGAACACAATAGTCACTGACATTTGCACTTTCCAGGAGCCTTCAGAATTAGAGTTCCTTGCAGCCAAGCTGCTGTCCAGAAAGGATCCACCTGTTATTCTGATTCCCCCCTTCATTGGTGCCAACCCCAAGTCCAGTCTCCTGGCTGCATTTACCATCATACATATTTCAAGGATATCAAGCCCTGAAGTTCAGGATACCCTCTGGAGCTGTCCCATTGGCCAAAGGCCTTCCTATATCGGGTGGTTAACCCAAAAGCCAAACCTCCTTTTAGCAAAGGCGACATGAACTCTAAAGTCAGAAGTCACACTTGGGTGGCTTCTTTATCTAGACTTAGCTGTCTATCAAAGGGTCTCATCGCTGGGGCATCTGGGAGGGTGGTGTGAACCCCCAAAGTAGCACACATGCTGGAAATTTCTTCACAACCCACCTCTCTCTTTTTTACCCATTTGACCCTTCCGGAGTATTTCTGGGGGAAAAAAAAAATCACTCTTTTAGAAAGCAAAGGATGCCAGAACTTTGTTTACATGTCTCCATGTACCAAAAAGTTTCCACTCTGGTATGACTCACCATAAGCTTCCTCCTCAGTCAGGACGTCAGTGATGTACCTGAAATCTATGCAGGATAACAGTGTCCTGGGATCCTGGTCATGGGACAGGAAGGGGAAAGGCCCAAGTTAATTTACGAGATACATGGGGCTTATCTTCCCTGAGGAAGAACTTTTGTGATTTGTATAAAGCTGGCCCTTAGAGGGTCATCACTACCTCTCAATGATATCCTTAGGTCTTCATGCTCCTTTCCTTCCCTTCCCCTCTCCTCCCTTGAAAACTAGGCTCCCCACTCCAACCGCCACACAGGGACCTGACGGAGGCAAGCACTCAGCTCATGTTTAATGGATGGAAGGATTTGTATAGCACTGTGCCACACTTCAGGGCACACGGAGCAGTTTAGCTGGAGAGGAAAGGCTGGTCTCAGAGCAAAGCTTCCCTGTACGCCCCTCCACTAGCAGCATGATTAGGCTATTTCCTCTCCTGTCAAGTAGTGATAATTCACTTTGCCAACAGGATCAGAGTGGACTAGACCTGAGCAGATACGGCACCCTCTACAAGGCCACGACACCTTATCTTCTCCCAATTTCCTCCCATCCACACCCAATGCTCTGACCACACTGGGAGATCCATGTTCCTGGACAGGCCTCTGGACCAGACCTCTTCCCACCCCCTTGCCTCCAGAATCTCACAGTCAGTTGGGAAACAACTGGCAGCTCTATTCTCTCCCTGGTTTTACTGTGACTAATAATACTCCATTAACATCACTGAATATGTAAAAATGTTCCAAAGAAGAATTTTTACTTTTAAGAATACTGACATTAAAACAAGGAAATGAAAAGTTCACAGGTGGGCTTTCAGGCACCTTTCCAGTAGCCCTCAAATCATCCCATTTGGGAGCTACCTCCTGCACCCCTTTGAAAGGTTAACCTGGAACCTAGAAGGACACTTAAGAGCTCTGTGTCTTTCCCTTTCAGGTGCCACCTTCTGTCAGAGAGATGGTGTAACAAACAGCCTCTGGTTTTTACTTTTTTCCAGAGAAGGGCCATAGTCTTTAAGAATGAACAATGAACAACTATAAGCCATAGACATTTTATGGGAATGGAAGGGGGAGTGGAATCGGAACTGGGGTGGGGACAGTCCACTGGACTATGGTGATAGCATACGGGTGAACTGGTGGTGGGATGCCCATAGGGATTACAACTAAGAATGATGTACAAAAAAAAAAAAAAAACACAGGGTAGCTGTTTTTCCTTGTGATGCCAAATAATAATAATAATAACAAAGACTTCCATCATTGATCACCAGATTTTTAGTGACCACCCAAGGCATCACCTTGAGGCAGATGATGCTCAGAGAGGTTAAGTGACACACCCAAGGTCATTTAGCCTGCAAGCAGAGAAGCCTGGACCAGAGCTAGGTCTCCTGGGTCTGAAGTTTACTTCCCTTACTTGCCTAGAATATTTTTTCCCCCTCATTTCTGCTATAAACAGGCCAGGGAGAAATGAATAACTAGATGAAATTCAGTTTGTTCCTTTCTTCTGAAATCCTACAGGGGATACCACAACAGCCCAATCTGTCACTTGCTTTTGCTTTTGGAGTTAAAATCACCAGACGATATTTTATTAATACCTTGCTCTCCAGAGTTTGTTAAGTTTTTTTCTCACTGGTCTTTTAACTAGTTCTATGGGTTTTCTGAAGCGACAGTTGCCCCCTTTTCACTGTTATGAAGCAAAAGTTCAGAGGACTTGGATCAGGAGTGCAAGCTCCACAGTGGTGGAGACCTCAACATGAACCTGTGGGAGCACAGCTGTTACTTCCAGTGTTAGGAAAGGAGTATTAAACTGCACTGGCTTTAGGCTTTATTATCCACAGACAATCTTGAATTTATTTTCTGATTATCAAAAAGTAATCCATGAAGAATTTACTTACCATATCAACAAGCAGCTTCCACAGAGGCTTGAAGAAAAAAAAAAAGTAAAACATATGTGTAAAGTCCACATTTCTGAAGGTAAACACAGGCATGACAAATACCCCCAACAGAAACCTGCCTGCCTGCAAGTGTGTCTCTAATGCCACCTCCTAACTGTTCTCCCTTTACTCCCCTCCCTTCTTTCCCCGTCCTTTTTATAATGCTATTGATACTACAATTTCCTAACTATTGCCAATATCTGTTAGGGGCAAAAAAAAATCAAACAATTCCCTGTATGTTTCTTGGGGAGGCAGCTGTGCATTTGTCTTTGATCATTCAAAGGCTGCTTCCCAGAGAGGTTTATTCCTCAGCTTGATGTCACACTGACCCACAAGCCCTGGAGCTCTCAGATGAGTTACCTTCCCCTCCTGTTTGGCCCACAGGTCCCACACCGCATTGAGAACAGCCGCTGTGGCCAGATGCACAACACCTTTCTCAGGACCTATCTGGTTAGGAAGCAAAACCAACAGAACTTCTCAGAAATGAAATAGACCTCTAGGCCTTTTAGCCAAAAATACATTTCAAGAATTAAAAGGTACCAATGAAAACTCCAGATTTTTTTTTTTAACAGTTTCTAATCTACAGAAGAGTTGCAGGAATAGTACCCAAAAACTTCTATATATTCTGTCCCTAGAAATGCATGTAGGTATGTATACAGATACAACTATAATTTATGATATAAATAAAATTTATTTTACTGAGCCAATTGAGAGTAAGTTGTAGGTATCCTGTCACTTTAACCCTAAATGGTTCAAATTGTAGTTCTTAAACATAAGAACATTCTCTTAAACACAAGAACCATAGCATAACACTTGATAGTCAGGGATGTAACATTAATAGAACACTATTATCTAAAAGATAGTTTGCAATCAAATCTCACCAACTGTTCAAATAATATCAAACAATGTACTTTGGTTTTATTCACATGTGACATGTAGATTTTATGTCTTTTACCTCAAATTTTTTTTTTTTTACTGTTTTCGCTTAATGCCATTGACACTTTTTTTTTTTTTAAAGATTTATTTATTTGTGCATGCAGAACTGGGGTGCAGGCCAGAGGCTCAGGGGTGGTGAGAGGCTTCACCAGAGACAGAGTGGGGAACAGAACAGGCAGATCGACAAAGTACACTACTGAGAGCAGCAGCAGGCCGGTCAGGAGAGGTCTGCCACGCCACGCCATGTGGTCACCTCCGGGGCAGGTGGGAATTGAACTCATGCGGAAGCAGCTTTAGATTCAGTGCTGTGCTTTAACCTGCTGCGCCACCAGGGAGGGCCGCCATTGACACTTTTAACTTTTAAAGAGTACAGGTGAGGTTACTGGTACTGTCTCTCAATATGTACTGGTGTGGAGCTGTTTCATGAGTAAATTCGGGTTCTATATTTTTGGCACAAATACTACAAGCAAAGAAGCCATTAACAAATTTATATTTAATTAATGAACAACTATATACCAGAGATATTTTACAGGGGTGAAGTGGGAAATGGGATAAAAAAATCGGGGGGTGGGAGGGAGAAAGGCATTGAACTGTGGTGATACACACGGGTGATTTGGTGATGGAAAGCCCATGGGGATTACAACTGAGATGGAAAAAGGCAGAAGATTATGTAAAAATAAACTATTATATTATTAAAAATTTACATTTATTAATTTTTTATTATCTTTTAGCATATGGGTAAATTGTTAAGGAAAGAAAATTGGGAAATTAATATTGTCTCAAAATTTTAGTATTCACTCATGATTCTTGCCTCAATCTACTATCGATATGATGTTGAGATATTGAAATATGGTTTTCTAATGTTTTCATTCTTATTAGTTTATAGTCTATTGTAAAGAGATTTTCCTTGTTTGTCCCAGATTGGGCCAATGGGAACTTCTTCAAAGTGCATGCCTTTAAAAGCCAAGTTTAACTCTGCAAAAGAAGTGAAATCCAAGACAAAATGGACCGAGCCTTCTCTTGTGCCTTTCTCTTGCATGGACAGAACACTGAAAAGATGTAGGAAGACAGAGTGGGTGTAAGGGCAAGCCCTTGTTATTGAACTTTTCTTACTGTAATAAAATCCTTTTTCTAGAATCTTACTTTTTTCAATCTTTGAACATAAAATTCAAAAGCAGACTTAAACACATAAAAGGTACTCTGGTGTCTATTTTAATAACCTGTATTTTCTCTTATGATTCTACTATTAATCTCCTCCCAGGACTCCAATACTACTTACTTCATCTCTCCCCCAAAAAGGCTGCCTATTTACACTTTATATCTAGAAAGTCTAGACCATTTTTTCCAATTTGGAGGGTGGAGATGACACCGGTAAACCCAGAGCCAGCTCTCAGGATTCAGATACATCAGGCTGAATGAAGTCTTTTATTTTTCTTTCAAGCATTTTTAAAAAAATAATATAATAGGTCCTCCCTGGTGGCAGAGCAGGTTAAAGCACAGCACTAAGAAGCTTAAGCCACTTCCGCATGAGTTCAATCCCTGCCTGCCCCGGAGGTGACCACA